GTTTAGTGGTTTAGGGTTTATGGTTTGGGGGTCTGTGGGGTTCAGGCTTTAGGATCGTGCTTTGTAGAGGTGTATCATAACTTTTTCCGGTGTATAAGGTTTTCAAATTCATGAAAAGTAAACCCTAAACCCTAAACCCTAAACCCTAAACCCTAAACCCTAAACCCTAAACCCTCATCGAGCTTGAAGGTGTTTACGAAGGGCTCGGGGGTATAAGATTTACCCTGTGACACATCCTACTCTCTTCAGGAGTCTACCCTAGAAGCATGTCCGCAGCTTCTGCCTAAGGTAGGAGCCTAAATAGTCACCAATACTATTTGCGGGGTTACGCTGTCATAATCATAGTATGATATACCGCAAAACCCTATACTAATTAGTAAGGCCCCTAACACAGAACCTTACTATAGATCCCTTATAGAGCCGCTAAGGAACCCTTTAAAGGAACGCACAAAATCCTATTCTAAGTATTTCCGGCCCCTACATTAGGGACCTCGGCTTTGGGTTTGTAGGGTTTGGGGTTTAGGGTTCAGGGGTTTAGGGTTTAGGGTTTAGGGTTTAGGGTTCAGGGGTTCAGGGTTTAGGGTTTAGGGTTTAGGGTTTAGGGTTTAGGGTACGGGCTGGAGCTGGCTTCGAACCCGGAGACCGCCAAGACCCCCCTGAAAAACGATGGATTTTTGTTTTCATCGGGGCGTAGGGGTTTAGGGTTTAGGGTTAATGAAGGGGCCTTAATTATTAGAATAGGGTTTTGGGGGAGCTCATTGCACTATATCTATGATCAGGAGCCCCCCAGAATAAGATAGCTAACTCTTTAGGTGCCTATAGTAATCATGTACAGGATCCTTTGGGGGTTCCAACTATGTAACTTCTCTATTCAAGCCTAAACCCTAAACCCCAAACCCCAAACCCTAAACCCCAAACCCTAAAAGCTCAGGCATGCACAATGTCAGGGTGAAGGCCAACCAGATCGGTTTCAACGCGGCCATCAGTGTCTGCGCCAAGGGCTCCTGTCCTTGCATTCAGGAGAGCTGCCTTTAGGGTTTAGGGTTTAGGGTTTAGGGTTTAGGGCAGAAACCTGAAAGGCAAAGATACAAACACGTCGCAAGACATATCCTTTTATACTCCCTAGAAAAGCTTGGCGCAACGCCCGAAAGGTCCTATTGCAATTAGAGTCATAACCCTCCTGCGGTCCTCAAGCACCCTAAACCCTAAACCCTAAACCTTCTGGATGCTCTGAGCCTGCCGAGGTTTCGGGTTTAGGGTTTGGGGTTTAGGGTTTAGGGTTTAGGGTTTAGGGGTTTAGGGTTTAGGGTTTAGGGTTTAGGGTTAGCTGAATAGTTAAAGATACTCTGATTCAGGGTTCCTCAATATACCTACGCTAAGAGATACCTTGCCTCTTCCATAGGGTTCTTTACCCTAAACCCTAAACCCTAAACCCCTAAACCCTAAACCCCTAGACCCTAAACCCCTAAACCCTAAACCCTAAACTTATTACAGAAATTTAGTATAGTGAACCGAGGCTCCCCATGTCAAGTAGTCAGGCTCCTTGTAGTACCTGGGTTTGGGGCAAACCGAGTCTTCCCAGTGCTGGGATTGATGTGTGGTTAGGGTTTAGGGTTTAGGGTTTGGGGTTTAGGGTTTAGGGTTTAGGGTTTGGGGTTTAGGGTTTTAGAGCTATTGCCAAGGGCTTCAGGGGTGTGTCGGGTTTCGTGAGTTTAGGTCTTGGGGTTCGGGCGCTAGGCGTGGGCATTTAGGGTCTACAAACCCTAAGCCCTAAACCCTACGCCCGAAGCCCTAAAGGGTTCAGGGTCAGGCCTGACGGCCTGCGATGGATTCCATGCATGGAGGGAAAGGGTTTTGGATTTCGGCCCGTGACCGGGTTTTAGTGTGTTTGGGCTTACGGCCGAAACCGAAGAAGCCTGATAGAAGCAGCCCTGACACGAATTTCCGGGAGCATCTACAAGCCAGATTCGCTTATTTTCCTTGGTAGTTTGCGGTCCCACGCTAGGGTGTTTGCTTTTTCGATCCTCCCGGCGAGGCACTCTAAAGGGTCAAAAACCCTCACGGGCAAAAACGAGGCGCACAATGGCGGATGTCTTTGCAGCTGCCGGTTGCGATGTCTTTCATGCAGGCAGGAGGGTCTTAGGGGTTGGGGGGGGGGTTGTGCAGAAGCCTTGCAGTTGCAGTAGGTTTCTGAGGGCCTTCTACCCGGTTCGGACTCCTTGGCAATATGATTCCCCTGTAGTCCCTGATATGATCACGACCGCTTTAGCAGTATGAACACATGAGGGACTACAGCGGAACCTAAACCCTAAACCCTAAACTTCCCTAAACACATTGCCAATGAGTCCGAGCCTTGAGGAAGGGAAGAAGATCGTCA